ACACACACACACACACACACACACACACACACACACTTTTTTACTTTTTTTTTTTTCTTGGTTTTTTCGAGACAGGGTTTCTCTGTGTAGCTTTGGAGCCTATCCTGGCACTTGCTCTGGAGACCAGGCTGGCCTCGAACTCACAGAGATCCACCTGCCTCTGCCTCCCGAGTGCTGGGATTAAAGGCGTCCACTACCAACGCCCAGCCACACACACTTATTTTTAAGAAAATGAAATTTTAACAGAAGGCTCTCCCTAAAATGGAGTAGTGTAGTACACTGCTTTTGTGATTGTGTAGAACAGTGTATCAGAAGCTGACACATTGGTTCTCTAACTCAGCCCTCACAAGCAACCAGATTACTTAAGAGATCAGAGATATTCAACTTGCAAGAACTATACACATTAAAAATCGGTTCCTTGAACTTGCAAGATTCAGTTCTGTGGTCCTACTGCCTCAGGCACGCTGCAGCTTGGTTGAGTCTGTAGGAAATGTTTGCTGTATTCTGTGTCCTTTAGTGTCTTGTAGACATAGATTGTAAGATCTGGAAACGTTTCCTGAAAATAACGAGAAGGGTCTCCAAGCCTCTCCTTCATACTGAAAGGAAACACAAATAAGTTAGTTGACTGGCCCCAAGCTCTTTCTCATCCTTAGAGTATGCCCTGGCAGCTCGCTGTACTTGATTCTATAGCAGGAACAATAAGGACTTTGGAATCTGATGAATAAGATGCTTCCTGACTCTTTAATAACTGTGCAACTTAATCTTTCTGAAATGTGTTTGTTCATTCATAAAAAATGGTAGTAACATGGGGGAGGAGGTGGTTCTCATAAGGCCCTACCCCTAAATAAATAGCTGTTACAGGCAATTAATGGGTGCTGAGAGACAGAGAATCAGTCTTTTCCAGGATCAAGACCTGTCTGAGAGGTTCCAATCCCAAGTGATAAGCACTAAACAAAGACACATGTGAACACAACTAAGTGGACTCAGTATTTATCTATACATATGTAAATATGCAGCAGCAATTAAAGGAGAGGTCAGGAATTTGAGAAGGAAGTGAGGGGAACACAGGAAGAGTTGGAATGGGGGAAAAGGTGAAAATGATGTAACTACACTGCTTATATACAGAATTCTAAAAAAATAATAATAAATTAAACAAAATAGTAAGACAATACCACAATTCCTTATAAACAATCCCTAAATAATAATAATAATAATAATAATAATAATAGAAGAAGAAGAAGAAGAAGAAGAAGAAGAAGAAGAAGAAGAAGAAGAAGAAGAAGAAGAAGAAGAAGAAGAAGAAGACGACGACGACGACGACAACATCCTGAACTTCGCAGCTAACAATTTTGATAACACAAGATTAACTAATATGGGAATATGCTCAACTTTTGTAACCCTACATTGCTTTATATAGTGGCCCTGTTTTCTATACTATTCACACAGGAAGCTGCTTCTGTTCAGTAGAAGTCAGCAAAACTAAAAAGGAGGATGCCCTCCTCCTCTTTCTCTTCCTTCTTCTCTGACAGGGTCTCACTATGCAGTTCTGACTGGCATGGAACTTGATGTGTAGACCAGGCTAACATTGCAGAGATCCATCTACCTCTGCCTCCCAAATTGTGGAAATAAAGACATGTGCCACACCCCCACCCTCCAACTTGTTTTTCTTTATCAAAATAAGTGTTCTTCTTTCCATTCTGACAGACTTAGAATTGGATTTTCTAATTGTTCCCCCTCCATGTATGACTCACAAGAATGAAAGCTACACTTACTGCTTGTTTTTGTCCTCATTGATGTGCTCTCCTATATTCCGAATGAACTTCAGTAGATCGCCCACAGTTTCCTGATAAGGATTTCTAGGTCTATTGGGCAGATGGAAATCATCCATTTCTTCCATAACACATTTGTCGATCTAAAAAACAAAACATTACTCCCAAGATATGGTAACAACATGAAACAAATCCTGATGGTGTGTTCATATCAGAAGGCCAAATACAAATGTGAATAAATGCCCTCTACCAATGAACGAATCAAACAGAAGCAAATGAAAGTACATGGGGCAGTTGTGTTGTGTTTGAATGAGGCATTATGAGTGACAGACTTCCTTCTGTCTGTACTTACCAGTTGCCAAGAAACTATGCCTATTAAACCCCTTTGTGGGAGTGTTAACTAGTCTAGCCACTATGAAAATCAGTATTGCAGTTCCTCTAAATAAATAAATAAATAAATAAATAAACTAAAACTACATCTACCAAACCAACAGCTACAACTCTGCTGGGTATTTATCTAAAGGAATCTCAAACAACATATCACAGAGATATTGCAGAATTGCTCACAGTAGCCAAGATGTAGAGTCAACCCAGGAGTTAGTAGAACAGTTAAGGAAAATGCAGTTTATGTACACAATGAAATATTTTTCAACAACAAAAAAAGAACAAAGTTATGTCAGTTGCTTGAAAATTGATGCAAATGGAGATAGTCACTCTCAGATAAATAACATGGGATTTTGCTTACATATATAAACCCATATATATATATATATGACATGAAAATAGAAGTAAAACTGTCTAGACCAACAGAGACTAAGGAAAGGGGGAGGGTTATGAGGGGAGGGTAAAGGGCATGGGGGAATATGCTCAAGGTATATTATATACATATATAAAAATGTCTCTACTTTCAGCCAGGCAGTGGTGCACATGCCTTTAATCCCAGCACTTGGGAATCAGAGGCAAAAGGATTTTAATGAGTTCGAGGCCAGCCTGGTCTACAAAGCAAGTTCCAGGACATCCAGGACTTTTACAAAGAGAAACCCTATATGGAAAAACCAAAATAGAAGAAGAAGACGAAAAGGAGGAGGAGGAGGAGGAGGAGGAGAAAATGTCTCTACTTTCGAGTTTGTCCATTTCTAAAAATTTAAAGTTTGAGCTGAAATCTCATATACATGCATTCAGCAAAGAGTCAGGGCACACATGCACCATACTAAGAACTAGCAAGACAGCCTCTGTCTCTGCCCCCACGGAACTTGCAGACTAGCAACAAAGACCACATTAAGCCAGCAGTTATGCGTGGAGACAAGTGAAGCAAAGAAAACAACTGAGAAGCAGAATCAAAGATGGAGAGAAGAACAGAGGTCTGAAATAGAGAAGCTGATGGTCTCAAAGACCTGAAGATCATGGATTCTCCCAGAATACTTTGCCCATGCCCTGCATCACACAGCATCATCTCTGCAGATATCTCTGTCTCACCGGAACATACTTTATTCCACTTTATGGTACCCAGACCCTGAGGCTGGCCTAAAACATAATTGCATTGAGAAATGTTTGTAAATTTACAATAATGAAAGTTTGGTGATAAATACAAGATTGAAACGGTGATTAATTTTATAGAGACTCCCTAAATTCAAGTTTGGCAGAATTTGAATTGAAGAGGAAAAATATGAAAGGCTATCTTTTTTCATAATGTTTTCTCAATACGATGTGGGTCCTCAGAACTGGAGCTATTTGGTTTTGGGGGTGTTTTTTTTGTTTTTTTTTTTTTTTTTGGGTTTTTTTTTTTTTTTTTTTTTTTTTGCTATTTGTTATGATAAAGCTCTAGGAGAACCTTGGCAGATTCCATGACAGGAGGGGGCTGCGTGATAGACAGACAAAGCTTAGTGAAAAGTTTTATTAGAAAAGGAAAGGGGAGTAAGGAAAGCGAAAAGAGGTAAATAGACACAGAGAGAGAGAGGACAGAAGAGAAGAGGGAGACAAGAAAAGTCCTGTCTGTCCCAGGGGAACAACAGGAAAAGAGAGCACAAGTGGGTGGGGGTCTTTCTTTTAAAGGGGTCCTTTGCACTTTTGTGTAGACTATGTAACCAGACCAAGGTACTGCCTGAATGCATTCTGCCAGGTGACAGGGGCAGGCCAGCATAATGCCTGAATCCTTACACTGTTCACAGGCAGCAAAGGTGTCCAGCCTGCCCAGGCTATGGTCTCATGGTGGAGAACCTCTTTGGCTTAGGCTCTATTTAGTCAGTTGTCCTTGTTATAATAGAACTTTGGGGCAGACTTGAGGACTCAGTAACAGGCTGGGTTAAGGCCATCCTAAGGAAGAACTTAATGACCGTGCCTTAGGGGCTCTGGACTCTGAAGGAGGGAGCAGAGAATCAACAGAGTCAAGAGAGCTCATTTGGAGAGAAGAAAATGACCTCATTCGCTTCCCGATATCAACAAGCTGGTGTATACAATAAGTTCAAAAAAGAACATAAACTTTTTTTGTTGTGTTTTTTTTTTGTTTGTTTTGTTTTGCTTTTAGGAAGCATAAACTGTTACACATACCCTTATTCCTAGGCCACAGAAAGTGTTCATACCTTAGATTTCCACTGATTGAAACTTCTGGAAGGCCCAGGTGTCCCAGGCTGTAGTAGTTTGAGAAGCTTGCTATTCTTTTTCCGTTTTTTGATGTCAGATTCATTCCCCACATCCCGAAGCACCCTGTACCGTCTGAGATGGTAGAAATATCATAGTCGTTGTATTTTTCCAAAAAGAGAAAACAGATATGCTTTGATTTTTAATAAATCAAATTTTCTGCAGAGGCCACCTGTTCTTCAGCACTTAAAACCAGAATGCAGAGGGTTGTTACCCCTCCCAAGGACACACTGCCTACTGTGCCACGGTGAGAGGAAAGCCTGGCCTGCTGATGCCCAGCCCTGACAGCTGCTCATACCACTTCTTCATCTCCATCTGAAAGCCTGTGACACAATGGTTGTCAACCTGTGGGTCATAATCCCTTTGGGGGTCAAATGACCCTTTCATAGAGGCCACATATCAGTCATCCTGCAGAGCAGATATTTACATTACAATTCATAACTGTGGCAAAATTACAGTTATGAAGTAGCAACAAAATAATTTTATGGTTGAGGCTCACCACACCTCGAGGAACTGTATTAAAGGGTTGCAGCATTAGGAAAGTTGAGAACCACTGCTGTATCACATACCCAAGTTCTACTTACTGCTCCCAAGTCCAAAAGAAAGGATGGCCAAGTAGGTCCTTCAGACAGTTCTTTACATTCTTTCCAGGAGAAAACAGGCACTGAATGAGGTCCTTAGTGTCCTCATCTGGAGATGTTTCAGCCACCTTTTTATTATCTTGATCTTTCAGTTCCTCAAAAGGGATCTCACCTTTCTTTACCACATAGAGGACCAGCCGTCCAAGGGCCTGCACAGAAGCCATAAATCAAGCCAAAATTGCAATGTGTTACCTCTCTATTTGAGTAGCCTTGAAAGATTTGATAGTATTGTGATCATCAATTTCATTGGTCAGAGATGTGCCTAGAAGATTAGTAACGGGCACCTCTGGGTGTGTCTGTGACAGTTTTTACGGAGAAGACTATGATAATGTGGGCCCTGGCCTAATGGCCAATGATGGACTCAAAATTTCAGTGGATTTATTTGGAAGTAGTGGGACATTAGAAGGTGGCACCTCAGGAAGAAGTTGTCCAGTAGGGGATTGTCTTGGAGGCTATACCTTGATATGATCCCTTCCAGTTATGGATCAACTTTGCTTCCTGTCTATGTTGAGCTGCTCTATTAAGTCCTCACTTCTTCCTTTAGGTTCTCACAGTGACACAAAAGTAGTCAGTCCAGGCAGTGTGGAAACAGAGATGGGAGGGGTTTCAAGGAACCTGTGGGCTATATTCCTGGGATCTTGTGGTGTCATGTTAATACTCTGGACTCCGAATCTGCAGGATTCTAGGTGAGAAAGGCAAAGCTCCATTCACAAAGAACTCTTCAAGGTCACACATGACCACGATGTTTCGGCTCTTCAGGGCCACACATGGTATTATGATAAAGAGTGAGAGGAACCTTGGCAGATTCCATGGCAGGAGAGGGTGACTGAGGTGGGGAAACAAACATGCTGGGCAGACAGAGCTTAAGTGAGAAGTCCTATTATTAAGGGGGAGGAAAGAGAAAAGAAGTAAAGAGACACAGAGAGGACAGAAGAGAAGAGAGAGACAAGAAAAGTCCCGTCTCCCCAGGGGAACAGTGGGAAAGGGAGAAAGAGATTTTAAGTGGGGGGGTCTGTCTTTTAAAGGGGTCCTTTGCACCTGCATGCAGACTACACAATCATGAAACCCTGGGCTGACCAGGGTACTGCCTGAGTGCATTCTGCCAGGTGACAGGAACATGCCAGCACAATGCCTGAATCCTTAAACATGGCCCACACAGTTTAGGCTCTTCAAGGCCACACATGGCCCACATAGTTTAGGCTCCTGAAAGACCATCCTGATCCAGAGTTGATGGGACAGACTTGTTGGCAACAGGATTCTACCTGAGTCTTGAATGTTCTGCCAGAATGTAGATAAGTCAAGAAAGGGAGGATGTTCTAAAAGAAGGGCACACCTTAGAACAAACTGGGAACCTGACCCAGTACTATGTGAGGTAAATAACAGAGTCATTCCCAATCAGGTGGGACGCAGTGCTAACCCAGAGAACCACTAGGCTTTAGTAGAGCAGAGAAGTAGGCAGTGGTCAACACAAGAGATAGTTACATAGATACCACGGGCTGTCAGGAGCCACCAAACCCAGAACCAAAGCTATTGCCCATTGGCTACTATCCAGTAGAGAACTGCCCAGCCATGTCCAAACAAGCCAGGCAGCCTCAGTACACAGGGCCTGGATCTGTGTCCTCTCAGGAAGGCTTCTGCTGAGCTCTGTGTCCTTGGAGCTGAAGGCTGGTCCCCAATCCCCCCAGAACTATCTGGAGCCTCCATATCTGGTTTTCTTTGGTACTCAGCAGGTAAGTTGGAATAGAGTTGGGAAGAAACTTCATTTGCCTTAACCTTAGGCAGAAAAATATTTGCAGAAAAACCTTTGAGTTATTCAGAAACCCTCGTAGAAGTCTTTGAAGAAGAGGCATCCTCGGTTTACTTATTTAGCTGATGGAGGAAGAAGGGAACAGTTAAAGATAAAGAAAGGGACCACAGGGAAGAGCAACTCCACACCAACTCAGCTATTTTACCTTCCATCTCTGCCCGTTGAAAGTTCTCCTTCAGAAAGACACCCAGAAATGCCCCTGTATGCAAGGTAGTGAGGACAGTGGACAAGGTAGAAGGAAGCCATGCTAAGTCTTCCCTTCTGTGTTAAAATGAGAAGTTCTCTACCTGACCCTAAGAAGTGGGGTAATGAACAAATAAGGAAACAGAGAACAGAAAAAGTTAACTAGATCACAGAAATTACCTCCAAGTCTCTCATGACGTTCTGGGGATCTCCCGTCCCTTGGATGCTCTGATCAAAATCTGCCAGGTAAACAGCTTCCTTGGAATCTAAGGGACAGTTTCAGAGATGCATAAAAAAATATTCTCCGTAGTGTGATAATCAAATCATTTAACTAAATATGTAACATGTTATACAATCTATCATCTCTGAAGATCAATAAGAATACTGTTTACTCATGTCCAGCTTCGTTTGATCTATTAGGTACCTGCCAAGAGCAGGACACACATTTTATTTTTTATGGGACAGACAGTGGGAAGAGATGAGAGTGAAGTTCACCAGCTGTCCACTTACACAGCTCCTGGGGCACAGCACAGTAAAGGGTCTGCTGGCCATAGTTAAGGTTACATCCTATGGCTAACTAACAGCTACCCAACAAGGTTCTGAGTCTGACAGTGTCTTCGAAACACTTTCCATTCAGTTAAGCCCACCAATCCCAAACACTTCTGGTACTTTAGACCACCATCATGGGTCAGAAATGTGTTGTCTCTGAGCTACCTGTTCCCTGCCCTTTTCAGGCTCTTCTTCCTTCTTGAAAAAGCCACTGAGTTCCCAGAAAGAGGAATGAAAGAATGATAGAAGCTGGGAGAGAGATCTAAAGATTAGTAAGTCAGGGACTTAGTCCTCAAGAGCTGACCCCTGCTATCTCCATAATGATCAGAAATAAATCTCCATTATTTACAAATCTCTTAGTCTTCGAGGTTCCATCCCAGCCACACATAAAAAACTACCACAAGGCCTCACCTATTAAGATGTTTTGTGGCTGCAGATCCTGATGGGTATATCCTTCCAAGTGTAGTGTTTGAACAGCCTTAAAAACAGACAATAGCACATTGCGAGCAAATGTATCTTCACTGTTCTCCATGGGTTCCTCTCTGTGCTCACCCAGGAACTCTTCCAATGTCCATTCACACAGGGACACACACACATAAAAACAGTCCTTGGTGATCTCTTTTCCATAGAAAGTCACGAAGTTATTGTGGCCAAGGAAGCCCTGCAGACAGGAGACTTCATTAAGTGCACGTGTGCTGTCCTCAGGGAAGACCTTCACAGCCACCTCTTGATTGTCATAGAATCCCAAGTAGACGGCCCCTTCAGAAGTGCTAGCAATTTTAAATTCCTCATCCACAAAGATCTTGAGTTTGCCAATCATGGGTCGATGCATACTGTGGAGTCTCTTCAAGGCTTTCCCCCAACGTGAACTGTGAGGCAACCAGTCTCCATCAGGAGGGCCAGTTTGATCCTTAGCTCCATAATGGAGAAGAAGTTCTACAAGGTAAGAGTTGTAATTTCGCCTGGCTATCCCAACAAGATCCCCACACTCGGTACTGGCTCCCTTAGCACACAGCAACTCAACTATTTCATTCAGGTTGTGTTCAACAGCAAATTGCAGGGCTGTCTTGCCCTGGCTATCTCTGGCATCAATGTTTATTTCCTCTTGGCTCAGTATCATCTGCACCAAACCTGTGTGTTTTTGCTTTTCCACTGCCAAGATCAAAGGTGTCTTCCCTCCTTCTCCTCTCACGTTAGCATCAGCCCCATGATGGAGCAGAAGACGAGTAATCTCCTCCACGTTTTTACCCTCTGGGTCCCGCAGAGTACAGATCAAGGCATTTCTGCCCTTATTGTCCTGGACATTGACTTCTGCCCGCATCTCATTGAGGAGAATACTCACGACTTCTGTGTGACCTTTCTCAGCAGCACTCATAAGAGCAGTGGCCCCTCCTCTCTTCATTCGCTTTTTGTCCTCTGTTGTCTCTCGTCTCAAATTCACATTGGCTCCCTTATCAAAAAGGAGTCTTAAGGCTTCAACCTTACCACACTCAGCAGCTTCCATGAAAGCCGTGAAGCCATTCAAGTCACACTCATTGACATCTGCTCCTTTAGAGAGGAATGTCTGAAGCAGTGTCACATCTCCATTGATCCCAGCGATGATGAAGGGAGTGGCCCCATTCTTCTTCCTCTGATGAGGGTCAGCTCCATGACGAAGCAGGAGATGGACAATGTCTACTTTGCCAAGCTGCACTGCGTTGTGCAAAGGTGTCCAGCCCCCAATGTCTTCACAGGCATTGATATCAGCTCCTCTTTGCAGCAATTGCTTTATCCTGTCAACATTCCCCTCTTTAACAGCTTCAATCAACGGATGACTGTCTTCCCCAGTGGTCCTCTGACTACTTGAGGTTGTGGATCCATCCTGGGGTATGTCATGATCATTGGTCTCCATGATTGTCAATTCTAATGCCTAGCATTCTTAGCCCTTTCCTTGAGGAATGGACACTTGTTTCTTTGGGATGCAGTGTCTTGGGGTAGAAACTGGGTTTATGAGTTCTATCTTCTGACGGCCCCTCTGTAGACAAATGAAGAGGTGATTTTGCTATTTCAGACAAGAAAAATTCGTCTGACTCAGAACTCAGCTTTACCCATAGGAAGCCTTTGCTAAACACATTTACTTGCTTAACTGGAAATTTCTAAATTGTAGACTATTGTGAACATACGTAAATTTAAAATGAGGAAATTATTACTCCACAGCTCCACGCCCCCAAAGCAACTGCTACCAATATTTAGTATATGTGTATAGTGTTAAGTTTCAAATCTGGGACAAATAGCTGAGGTGCCTACTTAACATATCAAAGCGAGCATGGCCACCAGGTTCTCCCAGCATCTCCCAGTTACCACTTTTTACAGGGTATGGCTGGCAGACCTGGCCCTATACCATAGAGAGTTACCCAAAAAGGCTCTTTTCCTATATAATCTAGACATTTTGGTTATCCGTCCCTTTTGTATCTTGAACCTCCTGACTGCTGTTGCTGGTTTTCCTCTCTCCCGGCCAGCCCCACCCTCCCAACATGATCCAGCTCAGTCTGATGGCATCCATTCTGGATTCTCCCAGATGTCCCTGCCTCTACCTATCTATGCTCTCCCTCTTATCTACAATAAACTTTCACCTCCACCACACCTAGTAGCAGTAACAGCCTCTCCTTTCCTTTTTCCTTTTTTTCATTCACAGGGTTTTATTTTCAGGCTGGGGTAACGCTATGCTTAGTGACTCTGCACTTTCATGCTTATTCCAATCTTCTAATCTTGAATATTTTGACATTTGAAATGATATTTTAAAAATTAAACAGTGCCGGGCAGTGGTGGCACATGCCTTTAATCCTGGTGCTCAGGAGGCAGAGGCAGGTGAATGTCTGTGAATTCGAGGCCAGCCTGGTCTACAGAGTAAGTTCATAGCTACACAGAGAAACCCTGTCTCAAAAACAAAACAAACAAGCAAACAAAAACAAAAACAAAAAAGTCAGCGCGGGGCTGGAGAGATGGCTCAGAGGTTAAGAGCACTGACTGTCCTGCTAGAGGACCCGAGTTCAATTCCCAGCAACCAACCACATGGTGGCTCATAACCATCTGTAATGAGATCTGGTGCCCTCTTCTGGTGTGCAAGCATGCATGCAGATAACTGTATACATAATAAATAAATAAATAAATAAATAAACAAGAAACAAAATAAACAGTTCAAAACAATTCTGAATAATGTGGTAGACAATTTAGCTAATTTTATCATGTTTTCCTATTACAGATTTCTTATACTAGACGTCCTGAAAACTAACTACTTTTTTCAATATTCTATAAACGTACTTACCTAGCAATTGGCAGCTTCTGGGGGTGGGGAGAGCACAAGCCAGCTCCTTTAAGAAGAAAAGGTATCTCTTTGTGTTTGTCCTTCTGAGTTTCTTTATCCCTGGTGAGGCTGGTCACCCCACACTCGCTGCTGCCTTCTCCACGTCTGTCCTCATCATACCCCTGCACGTTTTTATGGAAGTAGTCGTGAAAAATGTGAATCTTGAGCTCAGCTTTGAGTCTCTGGGTGTGCAACTTTTGACTTCCACTTCCTGATTGCACACTCCTAAACCGCTGATTTACAATATCGCTCTCTCAACAGAGGACAGCAATAAACAGGGCCGTAGGAGACAGTGTTAGGGAGTGTAGCAAATACTGGGCATTGGATAAATGACAGAGCATATTACGCCTCTTTGTGCATTTTTTTTTCCTTTGTAACAAACCCTCTTCTCCTAATGACCTGCCCTTCCTTCCCGGAGTGTCATTTAGGCCAGTGGCTAAATCAGCTCTAGGGCTAGATCCAGTTCAGCCATCGGCCAGACCTTGTTAACCTGAACAACTAAATAGCCGTGTCTGCTACAAAATGCAAGACGCATTTGAGGTCTACATATGCAGTATAATCTGAATACCAAGTGAGTCATTGACCAACGCGTTTGAGCAGCCAGTGCTGACTACAACTGCCTGTGAGGTGGGCTGGTGTAAGCGGCAGAGGAGGAAAACCCAGCCTAGAATGGAGCGCCTGCCCCAAAGCAAAGGAGCCTGCTTTCACTTTCATTTTCTCCTCCCTTGTTCTAGAGAGCTGCCCCAGAAGCAGAGCCCATAAATACAGTGATTGGACGGTGACAACCTTAGGGGATCACAGGGCTGCCGCGCAAATCCCCAGGCTTTCTCATTCCCTCCCCAACCCCAAGAGATCAGGCAAACCACGACTCCTCAGCCACTGCCAGCTCTCCTCCAGCGCACCTTACCTTCCAAACAGTCTCCTCAGCGGATCATTCTTTCCAGCGATCATTCTTTCGGCAGTAACAGTCCTTTAAGACCACCCCCTAGAGAATCTAACATTTCCTTGTGGCACGTCACTGAGCCATCAGGGTGGAGCCAAGAAGGAAGTGAGAAAACGGAAGAACAGACGGTGTGTGCACAGGGTCAGCCCAGACTCAGCCTGAGCAATCTTCACCCCATGAAAGAAAACAAAGGCTCTACCCTGAGCACGGAGGGCAGATTTGATCGACATCACGGCTCTAGCCTTTCAGGTTATAGGACCCAACTTCACTAGCACTCTTGTATCTTCTGTTGTCATAAATCCCTTGTGTTCCTGGAGGGAAAGAATTAGCTAGCTAGTGCAGGGCAGGAAGCCAAGCGAGTGTTGCCACAGATGACTGGAAGTGCTTGGGATGCAGGGGCTTACTGCACAAACCTGAAGCTCTGCATGGATGGAGCTTACTCCTTAATGGGAACAGAGAAATTACAAGCAGTCTTGCAGGGATGAATATTGTGTGTATGTACATGGTGTGTGTGTGTGTGTGTGTGTGTGTGTGTGTGTGTGTGTTTGCGGCAGGCAGCTGGAGGTCAGAAAACAACTCTGTGATGTGGGTTCTCTCCTTCCACCTGTACATGGGTTCTGAAGCTCAAAATCAGGTTACAAGGCTTGCCTAGCAAGCACCTTTACTGGAGGTGCCATTTATTCAACCCCATAAATAAGGTTTTGTTTAATAACTAGGATGTCCAAGTATGCTGGAATGCCTGGCAGTCCCTTTTTCTATAGGCTTCATGGCTGCTGTGTTCTAGAACCTCAAATACATCCTGCTGTCCAATCTGTCTTTGTGTGTGCTATTTTGCTCTCTGAGCAGATAATAAATAGTAACAAGGATTATGATGGTGCTGGTAGCAATGGTGGTGGTGGTGGTGGCTGAGGTGTTGTTATTGGTGGTGGTGGTGGTAGTGGTTGAGGTGTTGTTGTTGGTGGTGTTTGAGGTGTTATTAGTGGTGATGGTGGTGGTTAAGGTGTTGTTGTTGGTGGTGGTGGTGGTAATTATGCTAATTACAGAAAACAATTGCATAGCTCTTGAGTGTACTTCAGGAACTGTTCTGAGCACTTCACAGATACTAACTCAGAGAAGCAAATCTTCTTAGGATAGCTACTATTTTTTACCCCATTTTACAGATAGGAAAACCAAGGCATAAAGCAGTTAAGTAGCTTGCTGTGCTCTGGAGACTGGGCTACATCACAGAGGACACACTTACCTTCATTCTCACAGAAGCCAAACAGGGAAGAGAATAAATTCAACCATGCAGTGTGTGTTATTGTAGGAAACCCACGGGGAAAATAGTGTAGATGTGGGAGGGTTTAGAGTCCTGAAGACATACGGCAGTCAGTAAAGTGCTTGCCTTGTAAACACAAGACCTGAATTCAATGCGTAGAACTCATTCAGAAAAGAAAGGAGACACAGCAGTGCCATCCCAAGAACTTGGGTAATAAAGAATGGATCATGGTGGCACATTTGCAATCCCACTGCTGGGGAAGCACAGACAAGGCATCCTCAGAGCTTTCAACCAGCCAACATGGTCCACTTGGTATGTTCTAAGCCAATGAGAAGTGAACAGTACCTAAAGAATGACAGCTGCGGTTATCTACTGACCTACACACACACACACACACACACACACACACCACCACCACCACCACCACCACCACCACCACCACCACCACCAGGATGGGAATCTCCATAGGGTGATTGGGGAAGGAGGAGGTAGCTTCGTTCAGATGGTGACATTTGAGCAAAGACCGGGAGAGGAGGCTGAGGAACCAAAAATTAAAATTAATAAAAGTTTTAAAACTTAGGCCCTGAAAAGGGCCTAATAACTGGGAATGGCGTGGCTGGTACCTGAGCCCTGCTCTCAGAGAAGGGGAGGTAACCCTCCACCACTTGGGTCAACATTACTATCTACTAATTGCTGGTCATAAGGTTGTAAGTATCCCCAGCCCAGGGAATAACTGACAGATCCCGTGACTCTGTGGCCCATGCCCTGCCTTATCTCACTCTTGCTTAAAATATATAGTTACTGCTTTACTCTGTACTTTGTATGACCTTAAGTAACCGTGGAAACTCTATAATTTGTAGCCTTCAACCTTATGGTCTGTCCCTTTAAAAGCTTCTCCTTTTGGCTGGTTGGGATCTCATTTCCCTGCCATGGACTGGCATCCAAGCTGGCCAGCTTGAACAATAAAAAGAAACCTTTTGCTTTTTCATCAGAGTGTCGACTCTTTGGGTTAGTCTCTGGGCTCCGAGAACCTGGCACAACAGAGGCAAAAGCACACTGCGCAATTGCCACCTCAGATGGAACTGTGGGTGCAAAGGCCCTGAGGCAGGAGCAACTTCAGGTATAATCAAGGAACGGCTTAGAGACCAGTGAAACTGGACTGAGAGGAAATGGCAAGTGGAGTTTCAAGACATGTCGGAATCACGGACCCTTGAAGGACTTTGGATTCCACCCAGTGCACGATGGCCACCAAAATTGGGAAGTGGGGAGATGTTAAACTCTGTTTGACTTAGGGTGACTCTGGTCCTTGAGTAAGAAACCACAACCAAACCTAATTCATAACCACAGAAAGCTTGTGCTTGTACTTTTCTAAGAGATAGCTGGGTCTCAGCCAATCGGTGCAGCCCGGCTTCAGGTGGCTGTCTGACAGACCAAGCTATAAAGAAGTACGCTGTCACTATGCCTCATTTTCACTACGTGCACGGTGTGATACGACACTGGTTAAAATCAACTTGGAGAGAAAGGGTTTATTTGGTTTGCAGGTTGAAAGGACAAAAATAAATAAATAAATAAATAAATAAATAAATAAATAAATCAAACAAAAACCTGGTGAGGTGGGTACCTTTTGGCGGATCCTGACAAGGTATGCCCCTAAGAGAGCGTGCTACACATAATAGAGTTAGTGTAAGGGGTTTATTGGGGCAGGAGAGAGTGAAAGAGCAAAACGCCTTCTTGGAGTGGGGACATGAGAGAGGCAGACAGACAGACGGATGGAGAGGCAAGAGACAAGAGCTGTGACTGACAACATTATTTTTTCTTTTTTGTTTTGAGTTACAAACATGATTGAATTACATAACAATCCCAGTTCCCTTCTCCCTCCTCTACCACCCCCCCAACTAAAACCCTACCTATCACATATCTTTTCTTCTATTCTTCCCCTGACTCAACCTTTCTGCTCCCTCATGACCTCTGCATCCTTCCTCTTCTTCCCTTCTCATTCTCGTAGCTCCCTCCCCTCCTCTTCCCATGTTCTCAATTTGCTCAGGGGATGGTGACCCTTTCCCCTTCTCCAGGGGACAAAGTTTGTCTCTTTTAGGGTCCTCCTTGTTTACTAGTTTCTCTGGCAGTGTGGATTGTAGGCTGGTAATCCCTTACTCTATGTTTAAAATCCGCATATGAGTGAGTACATATCATTTTTGTCTTTTTGTGATTGGGTTACCTCACTCAGAATGGTTTCTTCTAGTTCCATCTATTTTTCCTGCAAATTTCAAGATTCCATTGTTTTTTTCTGCTGAGTAATCTTGTGGTAGACTGATTCCCATTTTTTTGAGGAGTCGCCATACTGATTTCCAAAGTGGCTGTACAAGTTGGCACTCCCTCCAGCAGTGGAGAAGTGTTCCCCTTTCTCCACATCCTCTCCAGCGTAAACTGTCATTGGTGTTTTTGATTTTGGCCATTCTGACAGGAGTAAGATGGTATCTCAGAGTTGTTTTGATTTGCATTTCCCTGATGGCTAAGGATGTTGAACACTTTCTTATGTGTCTTTCAGCCATTTTAGATTCCTCAATTGAGAATTGTCTAGTTCTGTACCCCACTTTTTAATTGGATTGTTTGGTGTTTTGGAGACTAGCTTCTTGAGTTCTTTGTATATTTTGGAGATCAGCCCTCTGGACTGATGACATTTTTAACAGGTGTGCGTGTTACGTAACAGAGAGTGGAAAAGCAACCCCTTCAGTGGCAGCTGGTCACAGCAACAGGAACTGTAGTGGCATCTTGTTTAACCAGTAGATGGCATCCTAAGGGTGTGGCTTCAAGTGTTCAGATGTGACCCCTTATAAGGAAGAGGAGGGGTTGGCTCACTCTCTGGGGCAGCAGTGGGAACTTCCAAAGGGTAAAGACTGCATCTTCAGGAACAGGAAGACTATTATTTGTGTAAGTGCTTCCCTAATAAATACCTGTTTATTATTTATCTTGGATCTTGTGGACTCATTTAAACCCTGCCTCCAGGGAACTAACGGGTTATATACTCCATCATCGATGGAAGCCAGAGCAGAACCCAAGGCAGTGACCTGGAGGCAGGAAATGAAGCAGGGACCATGGAGGATGTTTATTGGTGGGTTCCCCCTGGCCTGCTCAGCCTGGTTTCCTTGTACAACCCAGAACCACGGCTTAGAAGTAGTACCACCACATTGGTCATTAATCAAGAAAATGCCCCACAGCCATACTAACAGGCCAAACTGATGGCAGCAATTCCCCAGTCAAGGCTGCCTCTTTCAGGTGACTCCAGTTTGTATCTGATTGACAAAAAGCTAACCCGCTGTCTGGCCATGGCTATGGGCTGGCACTCTAAAACTGTTCTGGTTTTGACTGCCACCTGATCCACAAATCATTTACGACTTAGCTGAGGTTGCTAAATGGAGTGTCTAAAGTGCTTCCTTTAACAGAGACTGTTAGAATAATCTAGCCAGTGTCAGCCCAGAACAGGGCGGGACATAGAGGTAGCAGGTCGTGTTGGTTCATGCTAAGCAGAAGATGTGACAAAGACTCCTGGAGACTCTTCTCACCCACCACAGCCTGCGTGAGCCCAGGAAGCTTGCCTGTCGTCAGCCGTGTAGGAAGAACTCAGCCCAAAGGAAATCCAGGGCTTGATTTCATGATCCTGGCAGGTTTGAGGCTGTGTCGGTTCATCTGGGGTACGAGGAAATAAAGATCTATGCGCAACTGGATGCTCTTTGGAAGTGGAAGAAATTTTCGTGATGGCTGCCTTCACCGTTGTTTTCTAGGAACTAGACCGAACAAAAGAGCTAGATTGACAGCATCACCCAAGTAAGCCAGCAGAGGGCGACGTTTAGCTCCTTTTGTGGTGAAATCTTGCACAGTTCCCGTGTTTTTGTCTTGTTCCCCCACAGTCATGGGATAACTTCTCTAATTGCTGCTGACATTCGGTGGGGATGTTTATGTCTGAGCGGAGACTTGTCAGGGCCGTTTTGTTCAAGCAAGTGTTTTCTCTCATTTTTAGAATTGAACCACGATTGATACGTTGGAGAATAAGTTCCACTTGCAAAAGAATCCAGCTAGTCTGAATGGGTCATTTTGGAAAGCTTAGTCTCATTTCCCTCATCCTGGAACTTCTTCCCAGAGAAGAGGCTTTCTTTGTTTGTTTTATCTTGGTTTTTGGCTTTTGGAGACAGAAGAGTTTTAAACAACCCAGACCAAACCTCAGAGCAGCTGCAGGTCTAACTGATTTATAAGAGGCACGCTGATTTACTTTTTTTAAAAAAAGATTTTATTTATTATGTATGTATATAACATTCTGCTTCCATGTATATCTGCACAACAGAAGAGAGCACCAGATCTCATTACAGATCGTTGTGAGCCACCATGTGGTTGCTGGGAATTGAACTCAGGACCTCTGGAAGATCAGTCGGCACTCTTAACCTCTGAGCCATCTCTTCAGCCCATGATTTGTTACTTTTTTTTATGATTTCCAAACCCAAATTCTAAAAATTATTTGAGGCCACTTATAATAGGAAGCACACATATAATAAAACTCTATAGTATCAACACATGTATAAGAGACCCTGTGAATAACAGAGGAAAGCAAATATCTGATTCCAATAGAAAACTCAACTCTGGATCAAGGCCAGGGCAGAGAGCTAAAGTGACCCTTGTGAGGAAAACACAATAATTTATTAGCTGTCACATCAGGTGAGCCTGAGAGGAGTGGCACTTGGCACCAGCTACCCGCCTTGGGGAAGAATAAGTGTTGAGACAGGAAAGCATGGAGAAGGCTCAGTCAGTGTTGCAGGACTTCCCCAGGACCATCTTGAACCTAGAAACACGAGGAGAAGGAGATGACCCAAAAGACAGACTAGCACCACCTCCTGGCAGAAGAGATCCATCCATTCACAGGTCCCAGCCCCTGGGTGTGGTTTAACTTTGAAGAAGTAATAATTTACCAAGAGTAGAGAGCAGGCCCAGGAGCGAGTGGGAAGCCTGAAGTAGAGACATGGAGAAAAAAATGCAAGGCCCAGGTAAATGTAAGGACATGTCCCCAGTAAATGTAAGGGTATGTCCCCAGCAAATGTAAGGGCATATCCCTAGCAAATGTAAGGATACACCACCACCACCTCCGACCCCTTACCCACTTCCCACACTCAACTGTGGTTGCCTCGATCTTCCTTTAACCAAAAATAACCTGGAAGGCAGGTCTTGCCTCTGAGCTCCCTTCCAGACATGAACTTAGCTCACCCAAAGCCTTCTGGGATCTCGGGTAGGAGACAGTGGGGTAAAGTGGAATCAGTAGAATGCAACTGTCCCCCATCAGGAATGGTCTGGACTGGCTTGCTATGCAGAACAGCTGACTGCTACAGCTCTGTACATCTGACTGATCCTTTTAAACTTTCTGGGCCTTTGCTTCTATATTTTAAAGTTATGGGATTCGTTCAAGGATTACAGAAATTAGCATATGTAAAATACGTAGAGCAGTGTCTGCCACATAAGAGTATTTGCTATTTTTTGAGAATGCCACCAAGCTGTTTGATACACACTTTTCATACATTTCCCATCATGACAAAAGCTCTTTGAAGCCAAATACTATTTATAGTCACACTTCATACTACCAAGTGAGAGTCTAAGAAATGGAGCAATACACTGATGAATGAGCCGCAGACATGAGATTCAGTCAGTTGTGTAACATTTGTCATTGAATCATGGTTTCAGTGTGGCTGCCCTAGGGGTGGCAGGGCAGAATTAACTAAAAAGGGAGACCTCTCACTTACATAGAAATGCATTGTAAATTTTTAAAAATCTACACATTCTTGCTTTACTTGAAGTCTAAGTCAGTGCCTGAACTAGTGATTGTGGGCATTTAGTCTCCGTTGTCACCTTGATTGGATCTGATATTAGCAAAGAGACAAGCCTCCGGTGGGTCTGTGAGCGTGATCCCTGGAAGGGTTAACCGACAGGTGAAGACCCTCCCATGCTGGAGTGGGCAGCATGTTCTAGCTGCTGCCAAGACAGGAGAGTTCCGAGCTTTGCCCACTTGCCTTTGCTCCCTACAGGTGAGCGCATTTACCCTGGGGTATAGTGCCTAGACCCGCCCCCCCCCCACACACACACACCCTGACTGGGCTCAGGTGTTTAACTCCAGGCTTTTTTTTCTTCTCCTAAGGGGTTTGGATCCCTGGACCCATTGCAAACACCCACTCACATCGAATTACCTTGAATCAGCCCTTCATGGTTCCTGGACACCCGAACAGTATATTACCCAAGACCTTCCAGATTAAAAGTTAATTTTTAGTCCTAAAAGAACTAAGGAAATCTTGGTTTAACTCCTACACACACTAACTGTGTTAATAGTTGCAATTTCATCAAAATTTCATATGTTCACCAACATGAATTAATAAACCAAACAAATTCTAGCCATTATATAGAATTCTACCGGGTAAAACAAAATCTGCTCTTCCAGAGGACCCAAGTAGGGTTCGAGCACCCACACAGAGTGGCTCACAGCCACCTATAATCATAACTCCAAGGATGTCCTCTTCAGGTGCCTGCAATTCACAGGCACATAACCACACACTTGTGCATATAATTAAATATGTGTTGACTATTGAACTCAGATGAGCCTAAGAAAAAGCATAGTTATGGCCACAGGGGGGCAGCAGAGGGTAAAATATGAGCTGACCTTCCTCAGCCATGGAAGCAACTTTGAGCATTCCTGTCTTCCATCCATCCTTGGTCCTGGTCCTTTCTGCCCATCTCATGTAGAGAGATGTCCCCACAACCACACACCTCCCTCCCTCCAGGAATTGATAGAGTTGCTCTCTGGGCTATATGAGGTCAAGACCTGCCTGAGTGTTTGTTTGTTTCTTTGTTTATTTTCTGAGACAGGGTTTCTCTGTGTAACAACCCTGGCTGTCCTGGAACTCGCTCTGTAGACCAGACTGACCTTGAATTTTGAAAGATCCGCCTGCCTCTGCTTTCCAAATGCTGGGATTAAAGGGGTGAGCCACCACCCCTGGTTGTTCCCATGTTCTTGCCTAGGCCCTCAATGTCAGAATCCCCCCTGCTGTCACCCAAGAGCCCTGGATCTAGGTGTAGGGTGTAATTCTAAGGGTTATTTGAGCTCTGATCACCCTGAGAGCTTAGGGAGAGATGAAAGTCAACAGAATGTTGGATATATTGCTGTGTATAAACAGTTAACTATAACACCACATAAAAAATTACTTCTTTAGAATTGGGATCTCACTACGTAATTTAGGTTATTCTCAAACTTCATCCTCCTAAGAGCTGGGATTACAGGCACTCGATGCGGTGTGCCTGGCAGGATCATCTTTTCAGGGACTGGCAAGCAAGAAACAAAGAGCAAGGATTTCAGGAATGAGGTGACCCAGAAGGCAATGGGCAGAAGAGGAAGGCTCTGGTCCTTGCAGACTGCCCCTGAGAGCTCAACCCTTGCATGCCTTCAGCCACGCACCCCACCCTGTACCCCCAATCTACAGACTCCCCAGAGGTCTGTGACATCACAGGCCCTTCATACTCCCTTGGGTCACCTTATCAACCATAGGGTCCTTGGAAGCAGGATGGTATACTTGTGTTTTATTTTCATTTCTTACAAGAATATAACACACTCAAACAGAAAAACAGGGGTTGCATACAACACTGATAAAGGAACCCAGCTCCCTTTGTTAACAATAAATAAATATTAAAACAGTGGGGTGTTTCCCCAACAGCCCTCAGTGGTTCCCAAGGCTTGCAGAGGTAGAGTCCGGTGAGGGAGGAGGCACAGCCGGGCAAGCAGCTCCTGCTGAGTTTCTCCAGTAGAGGCAAACAAACCACAATAAATAACAAGGGCAACAAAAGCTGAGACAATCAGCACAACACAATGTAACAATATATTAGACTTAAATAATTTTCTCCTGGAGAAGCCTCAAGTGCAGAGAGAACAATGTTAGCAACCTGGGGCTCCACTGCCATTTTGGTCTCTGGTGCAGGAAGTCCCGACTTAGAATGTTTGTCCAGTAAGACCCAGAGGTGGTGGGTGGGTTGATTTCCCCACCCCCTACCCTTCCAGGCAGCCCCTGATACTCCCTGGCTGCACTTCCAGCTTCTTATCCAGAGCTATGGTGGTCCCTGGACTACCTCTCCCCTAACTGCAGTGGGCATCTCCTGTCTACAGGAAAGAAACACAAGGTTCCCTTTCCAACAGGGGGCATCTCTTGATCCCAGTCTCATATCCACCAAGAGAGCTGACTTGATTTCAGCTAGAGGGTTAGGCTCCTCCCACAGATGGGATTTTCTATGGCTCTTTTTTTCACTCACTCAGTTCCTGGGCATGCGTGCCTGAAGCCTCCTTCCACCCACCTCCCGCCCCTCAGACCTCATCTTCCAAGGCCATGCAGGGCTCGGTAAGGCCTCCCTCCCAGTTAGCCCTGTTCACAGGTGGACCCTGCTGCAAATGTTAAGGACAGGGGGCCACCGACAAAAGGCCACCAAGAGCACCCAGTCTAGGGTCACACGAGCAAAAGTGGCTTCTTTTTCAGGGTTCATTGCTGACCGGGAAAGGGGCTCACAGGTCAGTTTTTGAGGTATAAAAATCTCATTTGGGGCAAGAATCATAGGGACTCATTGACCCCCATGAGACTGTAAGAATGAACCCAGGAATGTTAAGAAGCCTAAGCTAGGGAACCCCTGGTATCTCTGGGAAGGCAAGCACAGAAGAGGAAGGTTCCACATTCACAGCTTTTTCTAGGCCCAGGCCAGGAATGAGGAAACCAAGATGTGACCAAAGCCAACTGTCTGGCAGGCGAACAGCTGCTATGGTTCTCTCCAGCTCCTAGTCTCAAGGTTCCCAACCACCCAGCATTCCTTCGTGCCTTGGTGGGATGAACATAGCTGCTGTGCCTTCCCCAGAGCTCCCCACACAGCCTCTTTGTCAGCCACAGGTCCTGGAATCAAGGAGCCTCTCCCACACTTAAGCCCACCACAGTATCTGAGGAGAGGGAGTTCTTCACACCCAGGATGCCTCGGGAATGTGTGTTCCCTTCACTGTCCTCTCGCACTTGTTGGGCAGAACCTGCCTCCCACACAGGGCAGCTGCTTCAGGGACGGGCGACTCCACCTCTCTTCCTGCTGACTTCTTCGCTCCTGTGGAAGCTCAAGTGTGTGAAGGCTCATCGGGGCTGCAGCAGCAAGAAGAGGTGGAGGAGGTGGCCGAGGCTTGGGCAGCCAGGTCCCGGTAAGCAGGTGACTTGAGGAAACGCGGATAGGAGTCCTTTTCCATCAGGGTGCGGGTCTTCTCCTGAGCCTCGTTGAAGCAGCTGGCAGTGGCTGCCTGCAGATTTGTCCTTGTCAGCTCTCGGGTCTCGTGGTCTATGTTCACCTGTGGAAAGCAGGGCAAGTGCAACGGTGAGTGAGGGGTACGGAGCAGCAGGGTGTCCGGTGGGCAAGTGAGGTCATGGGAAGAATACCAGACACTAGATAAGGAAGGAGTCTCCCCCTTCTTGAAATATTTTAAAAAGTATTGTTATGCGTTTGTGCCTGCCTAAGTGTGTGTGCCACATGTGTACAGGAGCCTTGGAGGCCTGAAGAGGGTGCTGGATTCCCCAGAACTGGAGTTAGAAGAGGTCACATGAGCTGCCATGCTGGTGATGAGCTATAGGAATTCTGGAGGTATAGTGTGGGGTGACCTATGTCCTCTGTAAGAGCAGCAAGTGTTCTTAACCACTGAACCATCACTCTAGGCCCACTAGCCAGCTTTTCAGCTCTGGGACAGTTCCCACATGGGACCCAGGGGTTGGTCCTCTGGACTCTCAGGATTAGCATGAGGTTGTGTTATGCAAAGCCAGAAGCTGTGTTCGCCCCTATCAGAGCTCTGCTTCAAGCCACCATCTCTGTGCTGGATCTATGGGATCATTCTTAACTGGCTTCTTCCTCCCGTTGCTCCCACAGTCTGCTAACCTCACAGTTGCTACTGAACCCACTCCATCAGGGAATATCTCCGCTTCCTCCCAAGCCATTCATTAGAAAACTAGGATGACCACATCTGGCCACCAGGCATATGCATGACCTCATATCCTACTGTCTCCCTGCTTCTTGGGTCGCCTGCTGTTCCCTGTGGCAGGATGTCCTTCCCTCTCTTGATCCTTACAGTGCTGTGTCACCCACTTCCTAACTCCCATTGTGTGCTTTGTCCATACCCCACCTGGCTTATATTGAATTGGTTTACTGATATCTTCTCCCCGTAGAATATTTATTATTATCCATTCGACATTTATTTTGCTCATTGCTATGCCTTCTGAGATCATAAAAGTCCCTTGCATATGAGTGATACTTAAGAAATATTTATAGACTGATGTGAAAATAAATAAAGCAGCAGCCAGAAAACAAGAGACAAAAGCATGGCATTACTCAGATATGCCCACCAGGTGACGCTACTGCTACTGTGTAGATACCTCCAGGAAGGAAGGCTGAACTGCTTAAAAAGAAAAAAAAAAAAAAAAGTCCCCCAAGGGTGGAGGCAAGTCAGCCCAGAGCACTAAGCCAGGTTATCCAAAGTTCTTGTGATGACTTTGTTCCTCCAGCTGATGTATGGAGGTTCTAAACAATAACTAATTTACAAGTATAGGGATGGAGAGAAGGCAAAAAGCCTGCTGTCTTGCCACCAAGAGTCACAAAGCCTAGTGTCTGGCCACTGAGGCCCTACCCTACCTTACCCCTCTGTAACCAAGAAGAAGACTGCTGTACTGCAAAACCTAATCCTTCCCTCACAGTCCCCCACTGGCCCTGGTTCTCAGTGGGAAGGGGCAGGCAGGATCTGGGGGAGTCACGGCCAGTGCCAAGACACTGACCTCTTTAGGGGCTTCACTTCGAATGTACTCGTCAAAGATTCGGTGAGCCCTAGTGGCCAGTTTGGTGGTTGATCGGATCTTCTTGAACTCCTCGCAGGCCAGCCAGAACTCCAGGTTCTCCTCACTGAACTCCGTCTTCAGAAAGGCATGGAAGGCAGCCACTCCATCTGGTGGTGAGGGGAGAAAGGAGACAGGCCAGGTTAGGGGACAGCTGGGAAGAAAGGAAGAAAAGACAGCAATTGCCATTAATGGCTCTATTTTTAGGATGTAATTTTCCTGAACAAGGCTCTGCCTTTGTGTTCTGAACAGAGGCTGACACACTGGGGGACTGGGATTATTATTACTACTACTATTATTTTGCTCGTGGTTCTCAGCATCCCAGGGACAAGTTCCAAGCACATGAGCACACACATGTCTTTCACAGACAGACAACAGGGTCCTACTTACTCTTGCTGCTCAGCAACAAATCGAAGGACTCTCTCCATCCCAGAACATCTTCCGAGAAGCTTCTGCCAAGAGAAGGGGAAAGAGCAGACATTTTTGAATTAATTTTTTTAAGTTGGGAAATGCATAGCACACATCCTAGGCTGAAGTTGATTATCAAAACTAACCCCTCAAACTCATATGGGGTTAGAGTAAGCAGGGATGTTTGTTATGTAATGGGCAACCTAGCATCCAGTGGCCGACTTTAGTCCTTGTCAGTCTTCCTAAGGCTCCCTCTTCTGTAACCAAAATTGACTCTATTCCTCAGCTTTGACTTGCACACCGCTCCAATGATGCAGGAGCTTCGCAGAAATTCTACCTACGACCCCAGAGCCTAGCACAGCACCTGTACTGCTGGAGTTCAAAAAGGGGGAGTGGGTGCTTCTAGGCAAGAAGCTCTCTAAATGGAAGCCGCCCCTGTTTTAGCTCTGCATTCAAGCGCAAGCGCACCGCCAGATTAAAGTCCGGTAAACAGGAGTGCATGCTCTGCAGGCAGGCGTTGCTGGGTCTGCAAAAACCCGGACTCCACAACCTGCTCCAAGGAGCTCGGCAGCCACAGCACCACAGCAAAGATTCTCACTAAAATCTCCAGGAAGGGTGGCCTGGGCCCCATAGCCTGTCTCCTCCCATTTTCCCTCTCAAGCTTCCTCCCCTCTAGAACCCCAGGACTGGTGAGAACAGGACTTACCTCTCTTTGCTATGTTTACTGGCCCACTCGAATTTGCCAATACCCCCGGTATCGGAGCTCAGCTCTGATTTATGAAGAAAGATCCCCAGGCGCGTCTTGAACTCTTTGGCTCTGAAACACAAACCATGAGCATGTAAGGATTCTGTTGGCTCTGCCTGCACAGAGAAGTTTGTGGTGGTGCTGGGGTGGAGGAGGTCCCACAAGAACTAACTCCAAGAAACCTGAGTACACTTGACCGTTCCCCCTGGCCCTGACAGCTTTTCTTACTGGGGTCTTCAAGTTCTGGGCCACAACAGCAGCACTCGAGCTGTGCCCGGATAGGTCTTAAACACTTTAAGGCACTGCAGTCGCGCCCCGCTGTCCCCTCTACCCAAGTTCCCAAGCCTGCCGGTTGGTGGATTCCGGACTTTGTCGTCGGGATTGCTAAAACAAATTCACTCCTCTTACCTCTCCAGGCAGGAGTTGGGGAAGGTGGTCAGGGTGCGGCACATGGTTGCGGGCGCAGGATAGCACGTCGAGGGGAGGACAGGAGCGGGCTCCACGGGGCACCGGAGGGCGAAGAAGCAAAAGTGAGGCTGTCTGAGTGCGGAGACTGGGTCGGCAGATGTGCACGCGCCGGGACCGAGGCAACTTAGGCTTTTATTCCCGAGGGGCGGGGCGGGGCCGGGCATCTCCGGCCAATAAGAAACTGGGGCTGAGTCTTGCGAGGGAGGAGGCAGGGCGAGGAGCATGATGGGGCGGGGCGACACTGGCAGCCCCCAGGGCATCCTCCTGAGCACACGGGACTGTCCCCACCCTGGAGGTCGGAGACTTAGGG